GAATAAAAGGCAACAAGGGCGTTTCAACACTTCCCTGCTCGCAGCATCCCGAGATGAAAAGCGGGGCAATAAATCAGAGGCGATGGTGGCGATTTGACTTTTTGGGGGGTTTTTTTCCTGTTTTTTTTTGGTTTTTTTTCCTCTTTTTTTTGAGGTTTTTTTCTACCATTTTTGAGGGTTTTTTTTTCCTCATTTTTTGGGTTTTTTTTTTTTCTATTTTGGGGGTTTTTTTCCTCTTTTTTTGGGTTTTTTTTGAGGTTTTTTCCTCTTTTTTGAGTTTTTTTCCTCCCTTTTTTGAGGGTTTTTTTTCCTCTTTTTTTTCATTTTTTTCCTCTTTTTTGGTTTTTTTTTCCTCTTTTTTTGGGGTTTTTTTGAGGTTTTTTCCTCATTTTGAGTTTTTTTTCTCCCTTTTTTGAGGGTTTTTTTTCCTCTTTTTTTTTTCATTTCTTTCCTCTTTCTTGGTTTTTTTTTCCTCTTTTTTGGGGTTTTTTTGAGTTTTTTTCCTCTTTTTTGAGTTTTTTTTCTCCCTTTTTTGAGGGTTTTTTTCCCTCTTTTTTTTCATTTTTTTTCTCTTTTTTGGTTTTTTTTTCCTCTTTTTTGGCCGTTTTTTTGTTTTTTTGAGTTGTTTTTTTTTTTTTCCTTTTCCCTTCTTTGTTTTTTTAGCCTAGATAGGAGGGGAGGGGTTAAGGAGAAACCCTCGCGTCTCCTTTTGGATGTGAAACCCGTCAGGGTTTTTATTGGCAGCGCCACCGGGAGCTCGGGGGAGAAGCCTGAGAGAAACTCCGGCTGGAATTGTCCCCTCTGGAATTCCTCCGGGAATGGGAATCCGCGGCCTCCGGGATGGGGAGAACCGGGATCCAACCCCTCTCCCACCGGGAATTCCCATCCCATCACCTGCCGGCTTTGGGGTTTTTATTTTTATTATAATTATTTTTATTATTTAGGATGAGGAAGCTTTTCCCCCCCCCCAAAAAAAAAAAACCCCAAGCAGGTTTTTGGGGATGGAATCCCCTCTCTGAGCTCAGCTCCAGGCTAAAAATAAACCCCCAAATCTCTTTTTTTTTTGTGGCTACCGGGACCTCTCCAAAAAAAAAACCCCAAAACCCCAAAATCCCTGGAAAAGGGCGAGATTTAAGGAATTCCCCTCCAAGGGCGGGGATGGGAGGAGATGAAAGAACCCAAAAAATCCTCTCTGCCTTTGGAACAACTTTCATCCCCTCCCTCCCCTCCTCTCTCCTTTTCCTTCCCCGACTTTCTCCCTCTCCTCTGGGGGTTTTTTTTTCCCGTTTTTTTTTTTTCCCGGGATGAAACATCTGGAATCAATTCCCGGCTCTGGCCGGTTCCTGCCGGCTCGGGGAAGCAGAACCCGTTTGGTTCCCCCTCTCTCCAGCACCCCCTTGTCACCCTCTGTTTCAATCCTCTCGCAACATTTGAAGTCTTCATAAAGAGAAACAGCTTTTCCCGACAGATCCCGGGGATTCGGGACTGGGGGAGGGATTTTGGGGAGTTTTTCCCATTTTTTTCGGAATTTTTTTCGCGTTTTTTGGGAGTTTTTTTTTCATTTTTGGGGAGTTTTTCATAGTTTTTTTTGGTTTTATTTTTTTTTTTCCCCTTCGTGGCTCGCTGGTTCTCCAGGAGGGATCCTCATCCTTTCCATCCTTTCCATCCTTTCCATCCTTTCCATCCTTTCCATCCTTTCCATCCTTCCCATCCTTCCCATCCTTCCCATCCTTCCCATCCTTCCCATCCTTCCCATCCTTCCCATTATTTTTAATATTTTTGCCCCAATTTCTAATTTTTTCCCTCCGCTCCCTTCTCTTTGAAACCAACGCGTCCCACCCCCCAAAAAGAAAATTAAAAAAACCCTAAAAAATTAAAAAATAATAATTCGAAGCATCTTGAAAAGGGGGGAAAAAATAAAAAATAAATTAAATAAATTCTCCCAATCCCACCGAGACCCAGCTGGGGGTGAAATAAAGTAGTTTTTTCTTAATTTTCCTGCTCCAGTGACGAATCCTCAGCGCCCCGAGCCGGATTTTTTCCTCCTTCTCCTTGGAGTTCTGGAGTCTCGCAGGTAAGAAGTTCCCAAAAAAAAAATCAAAATAAAAATCAAATAAATCAATTAAATCAATTAAATAAGGGGCCGCGAGCTGCAATTAATTGCTCCAAAATCTTTGATGAGGCTTCACCAGGAGCCGGAGCTGCCTCAAATTAATCGGGGGAGCTGAAAAGGAGCAAAAAAATTATCAAGAATCGGATTTTTTCCCAAAATTCCGATTTTTTGGGGGGGTTTTTATCCCCCCTCACCAATTTTTTGGGGGTTTTTTTTTGGGGTTTTTTTTTCCCCCTCCCCGGAACGCATTTGTTAAAAGATTTCTCACCTTCTGTGCGGTTTGAAAAAAGAAACAAAACAAAACAAAACAAAAAAAGAGTTGGGAAAAAGTTGATTTATGACCCCAGCGAGTTTTTTTTGTTGTTGTTTACTCGGAGGGAATTCTAATTAAATCCCAAAAAAAAAAAAAAGGAAAAAAAAGGGATAAAAAAAAGGGTGAAGTTCCCAAAAATCCGCGCTGTCGAGGCTTTTCCCTCCCCAGATGTGCCCCCGGAACATCTGGATGCTCCAGCTGCTTCTCCTTCCCCAGGGGAACCCCAAACTCGGCTTTTTTTTGCGGGGAAAAAATGAGATTTTTTGGGGGGAATGTTTGGTTTGGAGGGATGTGGGAAACGCCGGGTTTGGAAGGGAGGGCGTGGGAATTTCGGGTGGGGTTTTTTTTTTTTTTAATTCTTTGGATTTGCGCTCAAAATTTCTGTCCCAGGGAAGGAAAAATTCCCGTTTTCCTCCTCCCCCGGAACTTTTAAACGCGACAGGAAAATCCTTTGTGTGGATGGGGAGGGGGAAGGGGTTAAAAAAAAACCCAAAAAAATGGAATTAAAGCGGCAAAATTGGGTTGTAAATTGAAATTTCTTTGTGCTCTCCCCTCTCCTCCCTCCGGAGCGAGAGAAGAACTCAGGAGGAGCTTCCAGCTCCAAAAATCTCCTCAAACATCGGGAAAAGCGAGGAAGTTTTGGGCTCGGATTTATTTTCTATTATTTTCTATTATTTTCTATTATTTTCTATTATTTTCTATTATTTTCTATTATTTTCTATTATTTTATTTTATTTTATTTTATTTTATTTTATTTTATTTTATTTTCTATTATTTTATTTTCTATTATTTTCTATTATTTCCTATTCTTTTCTATTATTTTCTATTATTTCCTATTCTTTTCTTTTCTTTTCTTTTCTTTTCTTTTCTCTTCTTTTCTTTTCTTTTCTCTTCTTTTCTCTTCTTTTCTTTTCTATTATTTTATTTTATTTTATTTTATTTTATTTTATTTTATTTTATTTTATATTATATTATATTATATTATTTTATTTTATATTATTTTCTATTATTTTCTTTTCTATTATTTTATTTTGTTATTATTTCATTTTATAATTTTATAATTGTATAATTTTATTTGATAACTTCATTTTATCTCACTGTTGAACCGAGCTCTCCATCCTCTGCCCAACGAAACCCGAGCAGAAACCGCAGCCCCTGAGTGGCCGTAATTTAATTGATTTGATCATAAATCACCAACTTCATGAAAAACCCGGAGTTTTCTCTGCAGTAAATTGATATTAATGAACATTTTGTGCTCTTTAACCCCCTGGGTTCCGTGCTGCTCCCGCTCAGCAGAATTTTCGGGAGGGGATGTGGATTTATTTCGTTTCTATTTGATTTTTTTAATGTTTGATTTATGTTTGATTTTGTTTTTTATGTTCGATTTATTTTTGATTTATTTTTGATTTATTTTTGATTTTTTGATTTATTTTTGATTTAATTTTGATTTATTTTTGATTTTTTGATTTATTTTTGATTTATTTTTGATTTAATTTTGATTTACTTTTGATTTATTTTTGATTTTTTTTATTTATTTTTCATTTATTTTTATTTATTTTTGATATATTTTTATTTATTTTTATTTATTTCTGATATATTTTTGATTTATTTTTTTATTTATTTTAATTTATTTTTTATTTATTTTTGATTTATTTTTGATTTTTTTGATTTATTTTTGATTTATTTTTTATTTACTTTTGATTTATTTTTGATTTATTTTTGATTTTTTTGATTTATTTTTTGATTTATTTTTATTTATTTTTGATATATTTTTGATTTATTTTTCATTTATTTTTTTATTTATTTTTATTTATTTTTGATTTATTATTTTTGATTTATTTTTTATTTATTTTTGATTTTTCCCACCTTTCTAAACCGACGTTTCTTCCACTCTCCTTTAAAAAAAAAATCCGAATTTTATTCCCGGCGTGAGGAATTTGATCCCGGCCGGGAATTTCTTGAGAAAATTTTTATTTATTGACGTCGAGCAGTGAAAAATGAGTTTATTTGGGGTTTTTTTCCCCTCTGGGGACTCTCCCGGCCTTGCTGGGGATGGGATATTTTGGATTTTTTGGGATATATTTTGGATATTTTGGGATATATTTTGGATATTTTGGATATTTTGGGATATTTTGGGATATATTTTAGATTTTTTGAGATATATTTTGAATATTTTGAATATTTTGGGATATATTTTGAATATTTTGGGATATATTTGGAATATTTTGGGATATATTTTGGATAGTTTGGGATATATTTTGGATATTTTGGGATATATTTTGAATATTTTGGGATATATTTTGGATTTTTTGGGATATATTTTGAATATTTTGGATATTTTGGGATATATTTTGAATATTTTGGGATATATTTTGGGATATATTTTGAATATTTTGGGATATATTTTGAATATTTTGGGATATATTTTGGATTTTTTGGGATATATTTTGGATATTTTGGATATTTTGGGATATATTTTGGATATTTTGGGATATTTTGGGATATATTTTGGATTTTTTGGGATATATTTTGGATATTTTGGGATATTTTGGGATATAGTTTGGATATTTTGAATATTTTGGGATATATTTTGGATTTTTTGGAATATATTTTGGATATTTTTGATATTTTGGGATATATTTTGGATATTTTGGGATATTTTGGGATATATTTTGAATATTTTGGAATATATTTTGGATTTTTTGGGATATATTTTGGATTTTTTGGGATATATTTTGGATTTTTTGGGATATATTTTGGATATTTTGGGATATTTTGGGATATATTTTGGA